GTCTACACGAGTCTTGTTAATTCTTCTTCTTGATAATTATTGTTTTTGTAGCTTAATGAAACAAGTATTGCACATTTTGCAAGAACAAGTATATTACAACATTTGCTTCGAGCAGGTTGGCAAATGTTAGAAATAGTTATAGTCATCCAAAGTGGACGCCTAGATCATATCTTTGTTTTTCCCAACACAGAGGTCCTCCAGTGGGCCAATTGTAAGTTTACGGGTTTAAAAGTCTAAAATCCATGGTTCGATTCTCTATGATGAACAGATAGCCTATTTGTAGCTTTGAGCTGTAATAAACAAGCAAACACACCCAAAACAGGGAAGGAAACGTGATTTTACGAATAATCAATTAGAAATATATCACATGTTCACCTCTTTCATCTTGTAGTTTTAAAAAGTGAGAAAAAAGGCACTAAAATGCTTGGACTGCATCTTTCCTATGACATATGGTTGATACAATGGTATCAATACACCGTATTCAAAACCTTAAGTTGTTGTGGTCAACTATCCATGTGCTGACCAATTAGCTGTTGTAAGACCACACATAGAAACAGAGTAAATTCATGTACATCAGTTCAAAATGACGGACGGATAGCCCAGATAACATTCATGTAGTTTAGCTTGAATAACTGAAACAAACAAATAAAGTAATTGCTATGAGCTAGTTGTAAAAAGTTGCAGATATAAAAAAATATGCGAAAAATGCAAATATTAAAACTGAACATTAAATCGATTTGAATAAATTAAGTCTTCTTTGCAGCTTGTAAAAAAATTGTCTTTGCATTGATTAGTGGCCCCACCAGTGGCACAGCGGTATGTCCGTGGACTTACAACGCTAGAAACGGGTTTCGATACCCGTGGGGGGAAGAGCACAGATAGCCCTTGTGTAGCTTTGTGCATAATTAAACAAACAAACAAGCATTGATTAGTAAAGACTCTTTATAAACTTTTTGATCGCAGATATTTCGATATCTTATAAATAGCCAACATTTTGAGATGTATGTGTTTATCTAACACGTTTTAACTGTAGAAAAATCACTAAAACAAATTTGTGTCAGAAACAGGTTTTGATTTTCAACGATAATATACAAATCGACATTTAGATATAGCGTATTTTTCTGACTTTAATTGTTAGCTTTACTATTACTTAAGTTTGGAATAAAAGAAAACCAAACCATTTATAATAATTTTGTATTTTTCTTCTCTGTCTCTGAATTAGAGTTAATGTTAAAATAATACATTAAATACAGCATGAAATCTCAAGGTGGTATGATCTGGTGGTTAGGGTACTCGAATCGCAATCCGTGGTTTGCAGGATCCGATCCCATCACCGAACATGCTTGTCCTTTCAATCGGGAGAGCGTTATAATGTGACGGTCAATCTCACTATTCGTTGGTTAAAGTGTAGCCTAAGAATTGGCGGTGGGTGGTGTTGATTAGCGGCCTTCCATTTAGTCTATCGCTTCAAAACAAGAAGTGGCTTGTGCAGATAGCCCTCGAATAGCTTTGCACGAAATTCAACAAGCAAAATGAAATCTCAATACAAGTTATAAGGAGTATAAGAAAAAATTATATATATCTTTAAAGTTTGATCACATTTCTATATTCTTTGTTGTTTTTATTGTCCTTGATTAGGTTGCCTCATTGGTAAGCTTCAGGTCTTATAATGCTAAAACTTGGGTTTCGATTCCTGCAGAGGGCACAGCCATAAGAATCCATTGTGTAGCTTTGCGCTTAACAACAAATGAACATGTTAGGCTTATTTATTTTAGGTTTGATTTTTCTGCAAACCTATTACTAAAAATGCTTTCCTTGGTGTCACTGGCGGGTTTACTAATTCTATTTAATAATATTTAGATTCTTTTTCTGCTTGCTCTCTCTCTGTCTCTCTGAACACTAGACAACATACAGGAAAATTGTACATTTATAACTGTTTGTCTGGTTTGTTTTGAATTTCGCGGAAAGCTACACGAGGGCTATCTTCGCTATCCGTCCCTAATTTAGCAGTGAAAGACTAGAGAGAAGGCAGCTAGTCATCACCACCCACCGCCAATTTTGGGGCTACTCTTTTACCAACGAATAGTGGGATTGACCGCCACATTATAACGTCCACACGGCTGAAAGGGCGAGCATGTTTGGTGGGACGGGGATTCGAAACCGCAACCTTCAGATTACGCGTCAAGCACCCTAACCAGTCTATTTGTCCATACTCAACGCACTTGATCTGTTATTTAGTAGATTCCAAACCACTTTCAGAGTAATACAAAAATCAAAGACATGTTTATAAGATAACCTGCCAGGCTAAGACTTTAACACAAAGCTGCTATATCGACCAGTGCCAATATCCTACTGAGGTCAAACTAACATATTCTCCTTTTCTTTTACTCGTGGGTCCTTAGAATTAGATTTCAAGTTATATACGTGTGTGAGTGAGCGAAGGAAGCCAATAACACAGCTGAATATATGACCTCGATTTCCTCATTGTTAGTTACGACCCTGATCACAACGTCTGCACTTAATTTGATTGTTTCCAACGGTTAACTAGTCTATGGAGAGTATATCTACGTGGTACGAACACTTTAAGTTTTCAATCCAATACTACGCTTTACGATTTTACTGTAACTTATTTGTGTAACAGTCACGGTCTATTTAATCTGGTTGTACAAGCTACAGTTGCCAGATCAAGGCTATAGTAAACTTTCTCGATGACTTATTTTCTTATTTCATCGAACTTATTACAGAAAAGATACAAAGCCCTACCCCCTCTCTCCCAGTGGCTCAGTAGTAAGACTAAAGGCTTATAACACTAAAAACTGGGTTTCGATAACCATGGTGGGCACAGCTCAGACAGCCCAATCTGTAGCTTTGTGCTTAACTGCAAATAAACAATCAAAGAATACTAAAATGATAATTTTTAATACCTCTCTCATTAAATGCAACAACGTTCTTTTTTATCTAGTTAAATTTGTTGCTATATTTACGTAACGTGTAAACGCTTTAACTTACAAGTTTACTTGCGATTATTATCTATCTTTAAATCGCCCAGTTAGTACAAGAAGTTTCCTTAGATTATTTTGAAAAAAAACCTGAGTTTCCCTTGCATATAATTAGTTTTTGTTAGCCTCTCCGCGCACTGATATCTGTATGATCATTCTTTTTATGTCCGTGATATAAGTTAGACTTCCGTTCGCCAAATGTTGTAGTAATGTCACGTTTTCGTTTTTCTACGTTTTCTCTGAATTTCTTTTTAAAAATAAATACACGGTAAAAATATTTGTGTCACTAAAAAGCATAGATATTTTTCTTATATAATCATGGTATTAACTGAACGAAAGTTATTTTAATTCCATTCTTTAGGCTTCTTCTCTGAACGACACAGTAAACTGATTTATAAATGCGAATTCAGGCTGTAATTCCGACACATAGTGCGGAACGGCTTTTCAACATGTAATTGGATGCACCTCCAATTTTTAAAACTATTGTGTGATTTTTGTAACACAATGTAAAAAAAAAAATCACATAATTAATGGTTACGTATATGAGGCCAAAACATGGGTGTTCAAATGAGATCATTTCAAAAATGTAAGATCACATTTCATAACTACAATCGACAAAATCGTCAGTTTCGTGTTGTAACGTCAGATATTTTAGTCTTCAAGGAGAACGAGAAGCTATCCTTGTCTCTAAAACGCATACAAGTCGGGGGCTTCACCGTCAAACATGTTTTTTTTGTCGCTACACCTTTAATTTATGCCCTTTACTCCCAGCATTCCTTGTGCTGTATCAAGCCAAGTTTAGTCAGGTTACAAGAAGTTAGGCTAGAAAAGAGATCGGAAAAGCAAATTGACGTAGGATTAATTCAACGACCTTGAGACAGAGAAAGCATAGAATAATTTTTACCAATGAATTCAGTGAATAATTAGTAAGATTCTATAGTTTACTAACTTATATTTGAGTTGGACACAACAATTATTTCTTAAAATATAATTATAAATCAAGACCAGAAAACGTGTTTGCAGCACCCCAATTTAAATATGGCAAACTCACCTGATCTAATGAAGTTATTCTAACTTTTGTTAATTTGTTTGTTGTTAAGTAAAAAGCTAGACAATGAGCTATCTGTGCTCTATCCACTTCGTGTATCGAAACGAGATTTTTAGCTCTCTAACTTTATAAGCCTTCAGATTCACTGTTGAACCACCAGTTTTCTTAAATTTGACATTTGAAATCCCGGTGTTTAATATCGATTGCGAAAAAAATGGGGTTTTCATTATCTCTTACTGATAGAAAGAAAATAGAGTGATTACCGTCCGGGTGCCTGTTTGAAACTTTTTTATTAATCACTAAGTCTTTGTGAAGAATATTTGACTGAAAAATTACACATCCGTAACGCTGATTGATTCGATAATAAGTGTATCCTCTTGATAAGTCTTACAGTTCCATAATACAATAAGTTTTCAGTGAAACTACATCTTAGGAAGTTGAAGTGCTAAATATGATAAATGGCCCAAGTGTAAAATTAATATGATGTGTTATAAATAATGCTATTAAACTATTTGGATATACGCGTGACAACTGAGTTTCGATATTTGCGGCAAAAAGGTCACGTTTGACTAGTTTTCGAATCGAGGGGGGACGGAGGGAAATACCGTTCTCATGCCCCATTGTGGGATCGTACATATCCGAGTAAGTTTCAGGAGTTCCCCTTGTTAATATATTTTTCTTTACGAGTGCAACCTTTGGGTGATTTTATACAAGCGATTAAAGGTGGCAATAAATGCCAGAAATTAAAATTTGCAGGTTTAATAGTAGTGACAGGTAAACAGTTTATTATTAATTGCCCTTTTTGTTGAAAATTTCATTGAAAACTTTTATATCTTGATTTCTGTTTTGAAAAGAAAGAGGTCCAAAGAATGTTTGAAAGTTTCAACTGATAAAAAGTTTAAAAAATTCTTACAGCGTTAATCAAATAGCAAGAAAACAACAATTTTATTGTATAAGGTGCAATTACATTTTATTCAAAAATAAACAGTTCTTTACATAGCAAACAAAACAAACCTTTTCTCTCCTCTGTTGATTATTTTACGAAAAGTGGAGCGAACAACCCATTCTCAGGTGAATTACTATAATTAAGTTTATTATCCTAATTCTCTAAACAAGTAACCGAAAACTTGCATGAATAGACTCACTTATGTACGTATGAAGATCTATTAAGGTTGTATACATTGTTGTGGCATGTTTTGGCAATAACTAAATACTGATATGTTTTTTTCCCATTTCACAAGGTTTTAGTATAGAACATTAAAACAAACAGGAAATTTCATTTCTAGTTTGAGATAAGCATTGATAAGCAACTAGAAGAATGTCCCTGATTGCAAGGAATATAAGCCGTCTTGAAAGTCTTATCCCTGATTCTTTCTGTGTGTCTGAACTACTTCTGCTTCTTACTTAAAAATCTAACAAACCAATTAAATAGATTCTTTTCAGAACATAGTACTTTTTGCTTTATGAACTTTTGCCTTAGAAATTATAGCTCGTACGTATCTATACAGTTTTAAAACCCAAGTAAATTTGTATTATAGTACAACTTATTAACAAGTCCTGTTAATTTAATTCCAATGGAACGAATATAACCTTTGACATATTCGATGTGCATATGTATAAAATAATCTTGTAGCCATGTCCAAAATTTTCTGCTCAGTGTCAATGTAGAAATTATGTACAATCTAATGGAATACTTCAGTAGTTGCTTCCGGTTGCTCAGCGGTAAATCTGAAAGCATACAACGCTAAAAATCAGCTTTCGGTTGACATAGAACAGATAGCCCATAGAGAAGTTTTATGTTTAATAAAAAACAAATGAAAATTTCAGCAGTAAAAATAAATCGAAAAAAATATTAGTTAAGCAATACTTTGGATGAAACTCATATAAAGTAAAACATGATCTTATTTCGCTTAATCTTAGGCAGATTCACAAACGTTTTGGATAGTAGAAAAAGAAGATAAGCTAGGCATTATTACAAGTGTTCAGGTCATTACTCTTATTTATAGCCTAAGCATACCCGATTACGAGCTTGCTCATATCCTGAATGAAAACCATGACGAATAATTCATCAACAGATGTGAATATGTTATTAACGACATTTTGTCTAAAAGTGGAACAAACTACATTTATTCAAAATTTTCGTTAGAAGAAACTATCACACCATCATACACATGAAAAGGGGTTTTTACCCATCGAATCAGATTTCCTTGAAGATGTTCTTCCGACTTGTCTGCAAACTTGTATAGGCGCAATGCCTGTTCACTTCTCAGCGCCGAATCCCAAAAATGGAGCTCACTCACTTCTCCTTCAAAACTATCATCTACAACAAATCCAGCACCTGGTTTGTCCTGGTCTTGTCCCACAACAACTACGCCTTTTGGTCGAATTTTGGTTCCTTTGGCCATGCCAGTTTTATTTCCATGACAACCAAAATTATCGATAATTAGCGAAGCCTCACCTTCCCATGAAGACCAGAAATAACAGATGTGGTGCCATTTTCCAGGTCTTAGATAATAAGGACACGAAACTTGTAGATTTGCTCCATCACTTACAGCTATACCAACAACCTCGTCGTCTATGAAAGAAACAATTTCATTGGCTTGTGATTCGTGTGCATACGAAAATATGTGAAGTCTTCTGTCCAAGCGATGAACTTTGAACCAATAACATAATGTGAATTCGCGGAGCGTGGGTAACGTCCCGACCATCACCAAGCGTGGAAAAGATTTATTGTCAGAAGGAGGAAATACAATTTTAGTCGAAGCTTCACACTCTTTCGAGGCCCAGGTTAGCAACCACAGAAAAGCGAAGATTACAGTAACTCTAATAGAGGGAGCCATTGAAACTCTCATTTGTTTTTAATAGATGAATTTTTCCTTTTCTTCCACCAAATTATCTACACAAGAAAGTTGTGTAAGTTTCAATAAAATTTTTATTTATTTTGTTCACTGCATCATGTAGCTTCAAAACAAAAATCAAAGTGTTTCGTAACACAGACAAAAAGTAGCGAGATTCTAATCTTGTAGACTCTTATACTTAATTAACAGTTATTAATACACACGCTGAGAAAGTTTCAAGATTTACATCAGTTTTAACACATAGGAAAGTAATACTTAAATTAATTTTATCAAACGAATGAATAAGAATTATCTTGGCAACAGTGTACAGAAAAACCCTATACTCGTACTAATTTAATCACCTGAAAAAGGTTTATATGGGTTTAAATAATTAGAAATAAGTGAAAATTTATAGTAATTTTAACCCATATAAAGATCAAAGATTTACATTAATTGTATTGCATTAAAATATCAAAGATTTATATATGTTGAAATAGAAAACTTTAACAAATAACATACAATGATATTTACATTTGATACATTAATAACAATTAAACTACGACATGTTTAAAATTCATGAGTTGTTTGGAAAATATAATTACCAAGTTCCTCAGATAAGTTGTGCTTGGGAGAGAAATAAACCAAATGTGTTTGTTACTTCAGCAAATATGCCATGCTTTATATAAAGCTATATATATATACATATATATATAGAACCATGAAACTTTATAGAATTTTGTTAAGTATTTTTGTAATTAGTTTATGCCGAGATATTGTGTTACTCTTTATCAAACTTGTTATTCTCCTGTAATTTGAACAGTTCATGAAAATTGTTTTCCAAAGTGTTATATTCACAGTAAAAAAAACTTTCTAAAAAACTTGTATTTTAAGTGTTTCAAGTGTTTACTTACAGAATTTTATATGAACGCCAAAATTGATTAGGTTTTAATGGCTGTAATTATGTTACTTAAAGGTCAGTGATTCGAATATAAGAATATCTCGTTTCTAGAAATGCCTAATGAAGCCTTTTCTGGTTTTTAGTTACGTTCCTTACAGCTAAGAAGAATAAAGAATAACTTGTTTCAAACGATTTCGAATTAAGAGAAGAGTTTGGACATGAAAAACGACAAGTACTCTAATGTTTTAATGTTTTATATCTTATTCGTTTCTGTCCAAAGTTCGGTAAGAAACTATGTATTTACCATCGTGATAACTAAAGGGTTAAAGGCTATGATTTCATATAAGTACAAGCAAGTGTTAATACATTTTGTTTTAAATGAGAATCTTGTTTAGCTATCATCCTTTAATAAGAAGATTCGTGAAATTAGCTGAGGTCATAATTCATGACTGGCTGAGGTTTGTTTGGTTGTAATTAAGCACAAAGCTATACAATGGGCTATCTGTGCTCTACCCACCACGGGTATCGAAACCCAGATTCGAGCGTTGTAAGTCCGCAGACATACCGCTGTGCCACTTGGGGGCACTGGCTGAGGTAATGTTAGCACGTTTGACCTGAATAGTGTACCTAATGCAAAGTGTTTATTAGTGTAAAAACTGTTAACTGTTATGAATAATTTACTCAGAAAAGTTTCATATAAGTATTTCATAATAACTTCGTTTTTTAGGGGAAATTTAGCCTGTAAGAAAACTGAAAAAGAGAGTAAATGTAACGTTTTAAGCTAAGTAAGATTGTGGTCATTGTTATTTTAAGAAAACTAAAAAATCCTGTTAGGCATATTTTGAAATCGCGTTTAATTTTATTTAATAAATTCTACAATGTGATATGTGTTCACTAAATGGTTAACAAACAAATCTAAGACCCCGAAGATGCTCGCTCTTTCAGCCATGGGGGCTTAATAATATAACGGTCAATCCAATATTTATTGGTAAATAGTACTCCAAGAGTTGGTGGTGGGTGGTGTTGAATAGCTACCTCAAGCCTACCACTTACAAATTAGGGAAGGCTAGAGAAGGTAGCCCTAAGTAGATTTTTGCGAAATTCAACAAAACATACAAACAATATTCTTTCACAAAAATATTTAAAAATGGAATATTTCAAATAAACACCTTGTATGCATACCCATTGTTTTGATATGTTACATTTTCTTCCAGATGTGCTCCGATGTCTTAGTGGTAAGCTAGAGAGAGATTATAATCCCAGAATTCACCCCTCCTATCGGTGGCTCAGCAATAAGCCTGAGGACTAATAACGCTAAAAATAGGGTTTCGATACCCTTAGTGGGCAGAGCGCAGATAGCCCATTGTGTAGCTTTGTGCTTAATAATAAAACAAGACATCCCTACAGCGGACACAGCAGAGACAACTTTGCACTAAAACAACAACAATAACCACGCCACATATTCCAATAGCACCAGTTCAGGTATACAATTTACATGGCATTCAAAACAGAGAAACTTCAATTTTTTATGGAATATTGTTTGTAAAGTCTTATTTACAGGAGAACGTTGATGGTCTTGAAACTATTCAACACATCATCTAGAAACTTACACTCAAAGCGACTATACAGAGTGAAATATATGTACGTGTATTTAGAAGTTAATTCAACGGTGTCTTGTGACAGTAAATCAACTTAAAACGATTCATAAAGTAAAATAAAATAAAAATTTAAACGCGTCCTCACCCTTCCAAATTAGCACGAAGAGTTTGTGTGGGCAAACTAAGACAGTTTGGAGTAATGCTTCGCTGAAAGAAATGTTGCAATTTGATGTCCAGAAAAGTACAATCTGTAGCCGTGTATGACTTGAAACATGTATGTGCTCATAGCAATCCCTTAGTGATGATCTGAATTTGTCTTTGATTTACCCAAGTGAAATTTCCAACTAACTGATATGATACAAACACATATGCTCTTCTACAGAATAAACATTTGTCACTTTTGAATAAATCAAAATATTTCAAATTATACTAGGTTTAATATAAAGAAAGGGGTATTTAAAACATATGTCAGACTCGGTTAGCACTTGTGGTGGTCCAAGGTTTGTTCCATAATATTGTCTCTTAACACGCCCTGTACTTTCAGCTGAGGGGGCGTTATAACTGTAGCAGTCAATCTCACTTTTCCTGTTAAAAGCTGCATAGTAAACAACGAGTGCTGCTGATCAGCATTTTAAATTACGGACAGCTATGCCTAAATCTTAAACGTTTCTAGCCTGACCATTAAGTTCATGTTTCGCATATGGTGTTATTACAGTTGAAAATACCAAATTATTCTAAAGTCTGATAATATGATGATAATAGAACTCCCAGAATTAAAATGAAGGAATTAAAATCCCCCAAATCGTTTACTAATATGCATTTCATCTTTTGTTTAGATTGTAATACATTATACTATTGATTTTATAAACTGTATAAAAACAAACTGATATAAATGTGCAGTTGAGGTCAATAACTTAATGCCATTTTCAACTAATTCGTTGTACTTCATTTTCCACAAACATGTTGTTCTGAGTAGAATGATTCGTTTAATGCTTAGAAATACAAATTGGTTATGAAGCACCGATTGTTATCGCAAGCTGAATCACAACAACCATTTCTTTAACCACAGAAAAGCGGAGACTGTTTGGCGTGGATATCACGTTCAATGCCATACACTTAAGAAAACCATTCATAAAAAAGTTCTGTTGTCTCTAAAATTGTGAATGCTAACAAACTCTCATTCAGAAATAGCCCTTGTTTTCAGATAAACTCGTTATTCGTTCAATCTTTTAGCTTCTAACCATCTTAGGTGCTAGTGAACTTATATATGTATATAAACGTTATCTCTAAATATATCTACACCTTTGTGCTGCTAGCGAAGAAGACGTTAAGAACTAAAACATTGATCAAATTTATAAATTGTCTTGGAGATACAGACGTATTTTGATTTTAAAGAACCTGGACATATGTTTTGTACGTTTTAAGACTTTCATACAAACATTTCTTACGTATAACATTGACAGTTTCAGTTTGAATTGGTATTGGATTTGAATACATGCTCCAGAGCACGTGAAACTGGGATTGTAGCAATACAACAGAAATCTGACGTAGGAGTAAGAACACGCTTACGTGTTCTACCTCTTCCCGAATTTATGATTGCTTGCCAAGTTGTTGAACCAGCTGTTCAGGCTGGTTTTATCTACACAAACACGTGCAATTATGGATGGAATGGTTTCCTTTCTTCTCCACATCACAAGTAGAGACATTTTCTCAGAATGTTGAATCAGGTCTATCCATTGGAAAATTCGGAAGATTTTTAAGAGTTACTAATAAATATAGGATTTTTACTTAGTAATAATTAATATCGAGAATGACACTTTAAGTTACATTATATAACACACTGATATTTATAAATTCAAAGTGGCATTATTATGAAATATGTTATCCATATTGAAGCCAATTAGACTCTTGTTACATTTAATTGAACTTGGGTTATTGCTTACTGAACAGCTTTCCAACAAATGTACTTCTTTGCAGAAGCAGTGATAAGATATATATTTTCAATTTTACCGAGTATAACACATTAAAAGGCACGTTCTTGTGTTAAGCTTTTAATAAAAAATTGATAGAATATATAATTCACTTACCCTCACTTGTTAGTCTTCATATCAATCTGTGTACGTTTATTGAAACCCAAGTATTACTCGGTATATTTTAATCAAATATAATATAATTTTAAAGCCCCCCACCCCACCCTCCGGTGGTTCGGCAATAAGCTTAAGGAGTTATAGGACTAGAATTTAAAATCTCCGCGGCAGACACAACAATACAGAAAATATATTGGTTAATTTTGTTCTAACTCAAATAAAATAATCCTAAATTATAACAGACTACAGAGTCGTCAAAAGAAACATATATTGGCCACCCGTAAACTACCCTCAACTCTGCTGTTTTCCCCTCGATTCCACCTCGAGCACGCCAGGCGAGTGCTCTATCAACTGGTTATACGTACCACATACTGTCTTTCCTGCCAGTCAATTAGACTGTAGCTACCGAGTTGGCACTTGATAATCAAAATTCTATAGTTGCATGGTGAACAAAAAAGTCTGGGCATTTAAAGCTCATATGTTGAAAATTTTAGTTTTTGGCATTTTAGTAACAATGTTTTTCTTTTTCAGGTTTATTAAGGGTGAACATGGCAGATTCAAGTAACTATTCAATAGAAGAAGGCTTCGTCGCAAGTGTACGAGTGCAAGAGCGGAATTATACATGTAAAACATTATAAGGAATAAGATCTGACTTCTGTGCAAGATTTGGAAAAGAAGAGCTTTATAAAAGAACATATAAAATGCGTAAATATATCAGGATGCAATAAATCCTTTCTTTCATGTACACTGTATTTATTTGAGGGGTGCCCATGCCCACATCGTATATCTACAGGTGAATTAGGACACAGTATTTTGAAAGATTATGTTTGTCCATAGGACAGTTGATTTATATTAATTCATTCAGCAATTGAACAAGATGACAACGTTATACGCCACTGGTGCCAAAAACATGTTTGATAAATGGTACAGGTTGGTAGTTTACTGTACTTTGATAAATTCACGTATAGATAAATATATTTATGTAAATTGTTTTAAGAAATAATTTTAGGGTATTGCTTTTTTTAAATGGAAATATACTTTTTCTGCGGTTAAAACAACATCAAGTAATTTTGTTTTTAAGTAATACCTTGTGAGATATCGCTTGGAAAATTATAATTTTTCACGTCAAAACCAAATTGTTGATCCATCAATAGATCAAAATGTCAGACAGAGTTAATAAGTATACTTCTGTTAACATGCTACGAGGAGATCATATGAACAACTCAAATATGTAATAAGCACAAGTATGAAAATGACATCAGAAAGTGTGTATGCGTGGGGAGTTGGATTTAATGCTTCATGCAATATTCAAATACATTTGTACTTGCTTGGATAAATGCCAAATTGTAGATCAGTTTCAAGTTATTTTCTGTGAAGTAATAGATATTACAATGTTAATAATCTGAAAGTATTTAAGGGGCAAACCAACGAAAAGAAAATCTTCTAAGATCACGTGTTAATTCGAAGGTTCGCGCATTAACTTCTTAAGATATTTGATGTTCTTAACCAAACATATGTATTCACAAACTGTATGCAATCGTTCTTAGTGCCGGAAGCAACATAACCAGCTCTTCTAGTTCACAAACGACCCGCCAGGTGGTACGTTGGCCCACGTGCTCTGCTCAACATATCAATTCTGGGAATTTCCAACTGGTCAATATTAATTCAGCTTCTTATCACATAACTTATGTATATTTATTGGCAAACCTGAATACATAGAGTAGAAAAAGTACATGTATGTTAAAAAAGAAACGGAAGTTCTGTTCCCCCTGGTTGTTGTAATAAGAACTTAAATTCAATATCTTAATACTTCCTAGCCATTTCCGCTTTTGTTACATTTCTTGGAAATAAAGAAATCGATAATGGAAATTTTCCTAAATTATTATAAAAGAAAATTATAAATATATACATGTGTATAAGTAAATAATATAAATATGTAACCTCAAATTAAAAGGTTATAAAATACTCGTACAACTAAATTTCATGTTTGCTTACACATTGGTCCACGTATTTTACCATATTATGATTTAACTAGCCATAACACTGTGCTTAAAGTCGTTTTTAAGGCTCAGAACTTCAATAACGCCACTGATATAACAAAGTACTTTGTATTTTTATTACAAATTTTAATTTCATTGAAAATTATTGGCCAAGCAGAACGTATGTATGTCATCACCTAAAACTTGCGTGAAATGCATGCTACTTTTTATATACAGTAATATTTGTATGACCTAATGTCAGAAATAAAAACAAAAGATTTGTTTCGAGAAAAATACTTAGTAATCTGTCCATTTTCAGTAAAGCTTGCATAATGAAAGTAGTTTTCACTTATTTTCACGCACATCAAAGTTTTGGTTGTTGCTAAGCACAAAGCTAAACAGTAAGCAAATGAAGTATTTACTAGAATTGAAACTGTGACCAAAAATACACAAACACACACAAAGGAAAAACTAATAACAGACAATTTTTACTTGACAGTAAAAAATTAGTTTTTTTGTTCAGAAAAAAACATGTTCCCCCAGAAATTATGATAATTAAATAGTTTGTCACATCTACATTTAGGAATTTCCATGGCAACAACGTAAATTTACTTGAAGAGCACGTGTAAGGTTTGTAACCAATCACAAATATTATTTCAACATAAGATGTAAATTAACATTTTACCTACTCTCAGAATGTTCGTGTTGATTAGATTTTGAAACACTTTTAAGAGTACGGAGCTGTGCAAATGATAAATTAGTTATTTGCTGATTTAATACTTACCGTTCGAGGAACTACATCTTGATGGGTCAGCGGTAAATTGAAAATTTTATAATTTGTGGTTCAATTCCTCCGGTTGGCATAACTCAGAGAGCCAAGTGAGCAGCTTTGCACTAAAAAAAACAAAGAAGGGCAAAACCTTAAGGAATAGAATTACTGGTAATTTGTAAGCCATCAGCTAAGGAGGCAGCGATGTTTGTTTGTTTGTAGTTAAGCACAAAGCTACATAATGGGCTATCTGTACTCTGTCCACCACGGGTATCGAAACCCGGTCTCTAGCGTTGTAAGTCCGCAGACATACCGCTGTGCCAAAAAATACTTGTATATGAAATTAAACCATGGAATCCCATCACATGAATGTATATATGGGTCTGTTCTTTTTCTTCCTTAATCGGATAGGCATAGCTGTGCGCGCAACATACAAAAAATACAGCGGCGTTACATTTGAAACTGACATTTTTCATAATACTTTTTTTGTTCAATGTATAATGTATTGGTAAATGGTAATACCGTATCGCTACAATAACATAATACATACATTTCAGAACAGCCTGTCCATATGTGTGAATGATGAGAGGAAAGCAACTAACAGCCATACAGCCTTCGATACATTCGGTGATAGTACTTAAAGAACACAACGTCAAAAAATAAATGCGCTGATAAGTTCACGACAACAACTGCATCACGTAGCACGTTTGGTTGTTTTTCGTAAGCAAAATGCAGTGTAAATATAATTATATACAACATATTATAAAAAATATAATATAATAATAATATATATATATGTCTGGAATTTTCTTAACTAGTTATCCGACATGAAATATAAGATAAGCTGGTTGATATGAATATCTTGTATTATCAATTGAAACGTGTTAACGAAGAAAAGCTTCTACTAGAATTGTCCAGTTCAGAAATTTAATGATGTATTTAACAGTACTTCTGAACTAAATTTGCACATAAAAATTTATTAATAAACCTCCTAAATAAATATTAAATTACACTGAACATATAAACAGCAAAGAACAAATACAAAGAACGTTTTATATATATTACGTCATTGATAGCCGGCAGGCCATCACTGCAAATCGAATCAGCTGAATATGTCAGGTAGCATAGACGAGTCTAATTAAGTCCGAAATAATATATGTAATATTATATAATAATTATATATATATATATATATACAAAACTATATAATTATACAAAATATAACTATATACAATATACAAATGGTTATAATTTATATTTTCTATTAAAAATGGTGCGAGTAGCGCTTTGCATAGACAAAAAATGGAGCGAGTAGCGCTTTGCATAGACAAAAAATGGTGCGAGTAGCGCTTTTCATAGACAAAAAATGGAGCGAGTAGCGCTTTTCATAGACAAAAAATGGAGCGAGTAGCGCTTTTCACAGACAAAAAATGGAGCGACGCTACTTGCAAACGCTATGAATTTTTAAATGTAGCGTCGATCCATTAAAAGCTCCTAGAAACATAGTGGCGTTACGTAGCGCGCGCTATTCATAGCGGCGTTTTACGCACAGCACTGCGGATAGGCTGAGCGTGTCAGATTATAAATCTGTACGTTCATAATTCGCGTCGCGTTACGAAAAAAAAAAAAACCAATAGCACTGCATTTTCTGCCCGTGGATATGTTATAAGAGTGACAGTTATATCCTATTATTCAGTCAGACAAGAGTAGCCAAAGAGTTAGGGTGGGTGCTATAGACTGATTTCCTCTTGTTTTTCAATTCAAAATTAGGGATGTATAGCTTTTCGCGAATATGTGAAAACAAACCAACAAAATAATCAGATATGGTTAATTCCGATTTCACATGAATATTAAGGACACCACGGATTTCAAAGATTGTAATTTGTGGGATTCCGGGAAGTATGATTCAATAGTTCGATCTTGAATCAGTTACTATTAACTCAAAAGTCAGTTTATACAATAAAAACAAAACTGTGAAATTTCGTACAGAGTATAGGAAATAGTATTTCAATGAAAGCAAACAGATTGTTAATATTTTATGCATCTAAAGAGCTTAAGGTAGAATTAAGATAACTTACACATAATGAAATGGAATGGCGTAAATCATACAACTGATAACTTGACGCTGTTTGACCTTACATTTAAGAAGTTCAAGGTTTTTTGGTGAGTAGTTTGCAAGATCATATCACTTATTTAACACACAATATAATTCATTACCTAATCATTAAGCCTCTTTTAACCAAGAAAGTATTTACCCTAAAACAGAGAACAGATAATAAAAGATCTGCTCCTAACCGGATGTAGTTCTTCTGATTGTACACGAATATCGGGATCATCAAGGATTTAAGAGATTGTGCGTACTTTGTGGGGTTTTGTCTGTAGTTAAGTAGACTTAGTGCTTAGCCACTGAGGGGCGTGGGATTTTAGACAGTACGATTTAATACTTGGATCCTGAACTACAAACTTCATACAGGATATATGAAAAATTATATCTATGAAAACAAGTTATTACCTTATGTATTTAAACAGCTTAAGAAATATTATAGCTTACTTACATAGAATTAAACGAAAGAGTGCAAACCATACAAACCACCTATAACTGACAACACTGTATGACGTTTCACTCATGAAGCAACCATACAACAAACCTACAACTGATAATTTAACACCGTATGATGCTTCACTCATGAAGCAACCAAACAACAAACCTACAAATGATAATTTAACACTGTATGACGTTTCACTCATGAAGCAACCAAACAACAAACCTACAAATGATAATTTAACACTGTATGACGTTTCACTCATGAAGCAACCATACAACAAATTAAAATAACGCTCGAAGCTAATGCTAGTTTGTTCCATCACTTTTTAAGTGTCACACTTTCTTTATTTAACGTACTTAATCATTAGACGATGGGTTACATTGTATAATGAAAACAATTATCTTACAAGCCACTACGCTACACTTTATGCCACACAACATCAAGGTATTAGTTATATATTTCAGTGTTGTCACTTCATAACTGAAACGTCATACAGTGTTATCAGTTCTGGGTATATCTAAAATATGCAAACAAACAGATCAAATGCATTTTAATAGCCTCTCACGTGATAACTACAGCCATCAACAATTCCATGAAGCATAAGATGGTTCTAAATATATTTTTTTCTAATTTGTTCATGATTAACAATTGCAGTTAAATAAGCAAAAGAGAAACAGAAAGCCAGCGACATCTATCGGTAGGTTTAAACATACAAAGATACGAAAATTAGAAGAAAACAGTAAGCTAAATCATATTAACTAAACAAAGTAATACATTAAAACTTATGCTTTTATGTAAATGCACAGGCATGCGTTAAATAAATATATTGCTCAGTGTGATGAATGTTCTTAAATTAACTGTTTGGAAATAAACAAAGCATAACTATGCTATTAAACTTAAGCTTAGGATGTTCATTTGATGCCTTTACCACACACACAATGTCTGAGTAATGTTACATACACCCTATTTAGAGTTTTTTTTTTTGGCAAAGTCTATTTCAAATTTGTATATTTACTGCTATGCCTTAAAAACATGATAATTTACGTGAAAGACTAACTATTAATATTAATACAATAAATTTTAAATATTTTTAGTAACTATAATGCTAAAAACAAAATATTATCAATATATAGATAATAAAATATTACCCTCTACATTTATGTTTACTATTGTGACTATCAATGTAGTGTGTTTGAGTACAGTAATCGACAAGGGAAAAATATATATGAGCTTTACAATTTAATTAGAAAATCTTCATTTACAAACACATATATAAAAAACACAATCCTAAAATCAGATATTTTTCATCTCAACTTTCGTGACAGTAAAAAATCCTATAGGAAGAAAAACAATTAAATGAACCATAAAAGAACATAAAATAGTGCTTTTGGAAGATAGACCTTTCTTCTTTAGGAAGTAAAGACAAGCCTATCTCCCAAAAACACTCTGGTTATTGTCTATTTTGTGATTCATCTCAACTTAATATTTAAACAACATTTTAAGAGTGAATGATATTGATGAATTACACTATTTCCTAAGATTGATTTTTTTTATTTTTCCATCACAACTAACATTTACACATAAATTTCATATATGATTTTGAAATGTAAGTAACTCTTTATCACAAAAAATAGAATTGTCAGCTAACCCTTCACCACATGCTTCAATTACATTATAAACAACACCAAACAAGAATAAACACTGGTTCTCTTCATACACTGATCCACTGAATCGGCATATTATGCAGTGCAAACCAAAAATATTCTTTAAATACAATTGTTTACATACATGTACAGTACCTATCAAAAATAATATGTGCACCTAGTTTTGTACAAAAAAAATTACTTGGTGAAACTCACTTCCTCGTAGGTTTGGAACACACTAAAAGTTCTGTTAAAATAATATCAATCATTCTGTATGAAGAAAAAAATTTCTAAGATCAGTCGCCATTATGTATTTTTTAAATTAATGTTTATAGCCACCTACATACTTTAGCTACAGATGTGTTTTTTTTATCTTTATCAATTCACTAATATGTACTATGACATCAAAAACCTGGAAAACTATTATTGATATAAAGACTACAAATTACAATCAAATCTTCAACTAATTTTATGTAACTAATTTAGATTTTTGAGAATATAAGGAAAGTAGTTACTAAAAACTCTCCACAAGTCCCATAAATCCATCAAACATCTTTGTAAAATAAATAACTTTTAAGTGTGAAAATTTTGGTTTTATTCTATTTGTTTGTTGCAATACAAATGAAATATTAGAAACTTATTCAAATTTCTTTTTATTCCCAAACAGATAGTTTTATTTCTGGTCTTATCTTTCATTATCCTTACCTCTAATAAAACTATCTGGCTGAAACAGTGAGCATAAATAATACATCATATCCTCTACCAAGATGTATTAATTTACACACTGATGTTTGTAGTTGTACAATAATATCAAGTTTTATTAATGTATAGAGCACACTTCCAAAACAAAAGATTACAGTTTTTGCAATAACTATGATGAATATAGTCTGTTCATAAAGAAATAAAGGGGGATCATTTAGATGGAATGACTTCCGTTTACTGCAATGAAAACACAAGAATGGGAAGTACAAACACTCAATTTACTAAGCCTACCAAGCTTAATGAAGTTAAGTTTAAAAACACAGAGCAAATAAAATATACTTTTGATTAAAAATGTGCCACTTTTTAATTACTTTTCATGCCAAGAAATTATGTGCATAAAAAAGGGGAATAAAGAATTTGATTATGAAAAATATCTTAATATTCACATTATAAACATATAATCTGACCGGGGTATTATTAAATCATGGCCATTTCGGTTTCTCTTTTGATTTCTGAACATTTTGTTTTAAAACCACGTGACATCAAGTGCACAGTTATTTTTTTCTCATTTCCGCAAGATGGTCCTCGTCAAAATAAATATATATCTTCAGTTGTTTCCCGCTCTTAATATTTTAGCTTTGTCAGTACTTATCGCTTTTATTCTTGACAGTCACCATGATAACGTTAGTTTGGTGAATCAGGAACAAGGCACTCACAAATACAGCTTGAGCTCTGGAGAAAAAAAACGAATTCAATGCTTTGCATCAATTAAAACTACTTCAAGTGTATAAAATTCTGTGTTATATAAATAAATAATAAGTTAAATTCACATCTATTGTTTGATGTGAGTTGTGTTAGTTTTGCGATTTTATAGCAACAGCTACCTTTCACTCTTAACACCATATTTTAGTAAACGTATATACGTATTTAAATATCCTGTTTTTTTCCATTACAGGACTATCATTTAAGTAAAATGGTTTAACTTTCTTAACATGCAGAATATTTCTCTCACTTTTATAGAATATCAAAGACACACAGTTCACAAAAGGAGTGACAGAAAAATAAAAACCTACTTAATAATTGGTCTAACATAAACAACAGATGATTTAGGAACTAATTAAAGAACTTTATTTGAATAACCGTATGACAAACACAGAATAGATAAAAATAAATTGAATTACTGAGACAAAGTATGTTTTATAAAAGCTAACACGAAATAACTGTATGAGTTGATTTAATCAGGTTCTAAAGTGTACATTCCCAAAGATAATGTAGCCAAAATTACCTACATTACCGTAAGGTTTACTAAATCTTCAAACGCAAGGGTTCCTGCAACTGTTTTGGAACACAATTTATATAAGGAATTAACTGTGATGTATGATCAAATAAGTTGGTTTACAGAACGATGTTGATTTTAAGGGAGATGACTGTTATGTGCCTGAATGAGCATATCATTAATAAGGTGCCAGACAAACCCTGTATAAAGGGAATTTATTGAACTAAAAATTCTGTAATAACTTAATGTGTATCAAAGATTTTTTGATAAATTATCTTCCTCTTCCAAAACATTGCACTAAGTATAAACAAAATTCTTTTTTTTTTAATGTTGTGTTTCGAAAAGTCAGCTTAACTGAAAATTTACAATGAACAACAAAAACCATGTGAAATCACAAATTGAGTCTTATATTCAGTTATAGTTTCCTAATAATCTATCTATTTTTCTTGTTGTGTATGTACAAATTTCACTGAACCCAGATTTCTCTGATGTACTTTGTCGAAGTGTCTCACAAACCAATTATTTCTGCTGCCTGGATATGAAGCAGGGTTGGGCAATACGAAAACTTCTCAAAATTATTAGTTTTCTTGACTAAAAATGTACAAGTATCCTGATTTCAGAAACTTCCAGTTGTGAATATAAAAATGTGTACATGTTCATTGTATTCATCCGTACATTTCCATGCACTCAACAAATGTTTTTACTGTATATGATATTGTGCTTAACAACAGGTCACAATGAATTTTACATTATTTAAAAAAAACACATACTGTGTGACTGGGATAAAAGCATGGTAATTGATCTTTGTCAGTAAGTTAATCTCAGAAAACCATATGGTTTTGACAAATTACTATTTGAAGAATATTTTATAGCATATGATGATTTCTATGTTATATGAAAATTAACTATAAACTATATAAAAACAAACTGATATAAATGTGCAGTTGAGGCCAATAACTTATTTCCATTTTCCACAAACACGTTGTTCTGAGTAGAATGATTCATTTAGTGCTTAGAAATACAAATTGGTTATGAAACACTGATTGTTATCGCAAGCTGAATCATAACAACCATTTCTTTAACCACAGAAAGGTGTAGACTGTTTGCCATGGATATCACGTTCAATGCCCTACACTTAAGAAAATCATTCATAAAAAAAATGTTTTTGTCTCTAAAAGTTGTGAATGCTAACAAACTCTCATTCAAATTTGATGACGAGGAACCCACTTTGAGACTAATAATGGTTGGAGATGGCTTGAATGGGTAATGAAGAAAAGCTTTAATATAAGTTTAACATAACAGCAAATGTACAACGTTTCGACAAGGTTTTGTCATCATCAGGTACAAGTAATTTACACTGATACAGATATATATATATATATATATATATATAATACTATATATATAGTATTGAACAAAGAAGTCACATGACTGGAACTGTTGCAAAACTTAAGAGAGGTATCTAGGCACCCCGAGGTGTTGGTTTAGAGTAGGGTTGTTTTGTTCAATTAAGATAGATTCCTTGATTTTTCGTTTGTTTATGTTGGGTTCTTAGTTTAAAATGACTCTCATTCAGAAATAGCCCTTGTTTTCAGATAAACTTGTTATCTGATCAACCTTTCAATATGGTTTCATTAAATTTCACACTTTCATTACAATACTGACTGTATTAATTCACACAATTCTTGGCCATCAACTATATCATCCAGAAAGGGAAAACACTGTGAACTACACATGAATTGAGAGTATTAATAATTAAGATTAATTAATGAACTTTTTCAATGTACTTAAATTTCAGTGATATTTTGTGAACAAAATGTGCTGCAAGGGATTTCATGTTAGTGCCTCATATGCTCACTGCAATAGCATTGGACTCCTCACTGTATGTCCTGTAATCTTGTTCGTGCAAAAGCATTGAACTTCCTTCTATATGTTCAATCAATCTCGTTACTGCAACTGCATTGTACTACCTTCTATACTTCCAGTAATCTTGTCAAGCATTTTTCCTTTTCAGCATTTAAAGGGATAAATATTTCCACTAGAGTCTAAGCAAATGAAGGCAGAAATAAGAAAAAAAAATGACTAAAATTTTCAAAACTTATTTAAAAAAGGCCTGCATGACACATTCTTACCAGAAAAATTAATCTGTACTATATTCTTAGTGGTTCTTCAAGACTATAAGCCTAAATTTAAACTTGAACTGACCAACAAATGTTACAGAGGAGTCAATTATAGTGACAGATGAATACAAAACAGCTGATTGATGGGCAACAAATACAGTAACTGAGAGATAACAACTAACTGACAAACACAGTAATTAAGAGATAAAGACTTGAAATGACAGATGCCAGTGGGTAAGAAAAATGTGCAACTTACTGCCCTTCTTTAAAGAAGTCTTTCAATGTGTTGCTGAATCGTTTAGAACACTTCACAAACTCCTTCTTTCGTTGCTCCAAAGCCTGAAGGAATAGTTACCATAATGAAAATCCTTGTTAGTTGGAGCTGTTTTCTTTTGTTTCAATTTGCAATTTTGAAAGACACTTAACAGCACAATATTTATAGAGAAGACAGAAACTTCTTAGTATAATCAAAGAATTAAACACTTGAGTCACAGCAAGTTCAAAATATTAACTTTAAGAGCCAAAACTTTACAGTTTCCCTCTTTCTCTGCCAAACAAATCTAAATTTGTATAAACTTCATTTTTGCTACTTCCTCTAATTTTCAAAAGTAAGAATTATAAACCAAAAGTTGTATCCATACCATCAATTATACAAAACTAGTGAGAGACGACACTGAGAACATTCATAATCTTGTATATTTACTTTAAAAACTCCATTAAAACTTTTAAGAAAAAAACATAAGTAGGCTTTTATTCATTTATTTGCTATTTCCCTTCAAATTGTCAAATAAAGCCTATTATTCCATATGTGAATTTCAGTAAAAAAATCTATAGATAAACATTCTTAACTGTAAACTCTATGAGAAAGTAAAGTGACTGATAATACAAAGCTCCTTTTGAACATCATTTGTACTAAGTAGTGGAGTGCAACACACAAAGTGTGCAGTTAAAATCCACTCTTCTCACTGGAAATCCATATAGGACAACAGATGTGATTTCAATTATCTGTCTCATAGCAGTGGCATATCACACAGCTTACTAACCAATAGATCAATTAAACGGTCTTGAATAACTTTTAACAGATGCCCAATTTGAGTTGCAAAGAGCAAATGGTTCTATCCATATTAAATGAACTTAAAAACATGAAAAAAAAACAAAAATAAACAAATTTGTAGTTAAAATAGAGCTTTAAAAAGCGTGTGCTTTATTTTAAGAAATAACATTTACTAAATTTTACTCATTCAGTCTTACCTGCCTTCCACTAGCTGAATGAATGAAACTAGTGACTTCATACACAGTGTCTAAAAGTTTTTTAATTGCACTGGCAATTTCTCTAAATAAACAAGAAAGAAACAATACTTATCAATTTAGTTACATGTTGGTCTAAACATAATTACAGGCAAACAACTTTAAATTAAAATGTGAACAGTTTATTGTAGTATTCCTTGGTTTTGGTTAAGTCTTGTAAACACTAAAAAATTACTTCACATTTCTGTACGAGTAAACACATTAGAACATTGTTGCTAATGAAACTGTAAAAATAGAACACTGAAAGACAAATATTATCTGTGGATTTGGTTGTAATTTAAGAAATGTCTACAAAATACATACTATTGTTTTTAAGATTTAAAATACTTTAAGAGTGAGTAAGTATGAACATGGCAACACTTCTATTTCCATATTGTAATACTCAAACTAACTTTTATACCTGACTTACCAGAAACTGCAAATGCATTAGCTCAAGATTTTGAGAAGATAAGAATAAGAATTCAATTAAGCTATTTTGTTCATAATATGAACTTACAAAAAAAAACAGATGTATACAAGTAAAGGTTGTAACAGAAGAAAGTATTATATCACAAATTATAACCTTACTGTTTACAACTAATTTTAAAATCTGTTAGATCAACACAGTTGAAAATCACAAGGTAATAAAAAAAAAAAAAGAAACATGCAACATGAGGAGCCTTAAATATGGAATTACTCTAAACTCACTTGATAGTTTCAAGGAATGTTTTCCGATCATTTATTTCATCTGGAATGCGACTCAGTATTTTTTTCAAGGAATATGCTTTTTTATTCAGTTCCTGGAAGGCATCTTCTGATCGTGTTGACTTGTATTCTATCAATACCAGAAAGCAAAATATAATAAATTCTATTACAAAACAGCATGTATGTGAAATTAACTAGATTATTAACATACTTTGATTGGATAAAAACATTTTCTACAGCGTAATTACAAATTAGGATATTATTTTAAAGAAATTAATTTCATTTCTTATACAAATCAGTGATTGGATGTTTCTGAAAATGGCTAAAAGATGTAGTTTGAAGTCATGCAGCAAATCCACAAACAGATTTTACTTTGGATATATTAATAGAGCTCATCTTTTTTTTTCAAGGCCCACGGTCGTGAAAAAGTAGGATATTTTACTATAAATTTGGCTGAAAAAAATAATTTAAAAAGTGCATCAAGTGCAGTAGTAATTATTAGTAAACAGTTTAGTTACATTAGTTGAGCTGATTTCAACACAACTTTCAGATTTTCAATCAGATACCAGGAAACAGTAGTAACTGGCAGAGTCTGTGATTAACATAAAAAATGAAAGAAAGGACCCATTACCCTCATGCACTGTACCTATGATGCATATCAATTAAGATAAAAAGCATAAAAGTAGTCAGTTGTCAAATCAGCATTTAAAAAGAAAAAAAAGCACAGCCAAATCGGCAGTTTTTCACGGTGCCAGGTCTTAATAAACGAAAGTCAATATACACTAGTAAATCTGATTGTGCAGCTTTCAATCACACGAAGTATATTCAAATTTAAATATGCATAGAAAACTGGAGTTATGTTATGACTAATAGCACTCTGTAATGTACTGCATTTCAACAAGAACAAATGTTAAATAATACACCTGAGGGACGGCAGATTGGAGGTGAGCACTAGTGTTAAGGGAAAGGCTTCAGGGGTGATTGTTGTTAAGTGTATAAACCATGTAACTGTGAATAATTGGTTAATCAAGTTCTGTGGTCTATTTATAAAAGTTTGAGTTCAAAAGTAAGAAAATTTTTGTAACCTTGTGTAAGACTGTAGAGGACTCTTATTAGAGTCAAGTGTAGTTGTGGTTTCCTTACTAAAGGAATGTTATTGACATGGTGAAAAGCAAGTAAAGAAGCTACTAGAATAATAGTTATTTTATAAAACCGAACTATGAAAAACGAATTTAAACCTTGAATTAATTTTCTCTGGCTCAATTCAGATTTTTAAGTTATTAGGATAATATCCTTGTGGGAGGTCTGTTCAAGAGATGGTATAATAATATAGTTTGGTATGTTATGAATTTCTTGCAAAGCTACACAAGGGCTATCTGCGCTAGCCATCCCTAATTTAGCAGTGTAAGACTAGAGGGAAGGCAGTTAGTCATCACCACCCACCGCCAACTCTTGGGCTACTCTTTTACCAATGAATAGTGGGATTGACTGTCATATTATAACGCCCCCACGGCTGAAAGGCCGAGCATGTTTGGTGTGACGGGGATTTGAACCTGCAACCCTCAGATTGTGAGTCGAGCGCCCTAACCACCTGGCTATGCTGGGCCTGATAATATAGAAAATAAGAACTTGAACATTATGGACTAAGGAGTTTGAAAGTCAAGATTAAAGTTGTGCTTCAGCAAAATTACCTATTTATTAGTTATAACTTGCAGAACAGATAATAATAGTACTTTGTATTCTGTTATTTTCAACTTTTACTGGAGAAGAAAGATGTTATGATCTACATTTAGTTTGGGTGGATTGTTCTGATTGGTTGTTTTAATTGTGTAGGGAGTAAACATAAAACTGAATGGCTTTTCGTAACATGATCACTTTTATGATCTTATATTTGTGTAAATTCTTTGAGTTTTCTACAGATAGATACAAACTATAATAAGTAAAAGATATAAAAAACTAAATCAAACTAACACAACAAGTATAGTAGAGATAATTTTTAAAATAAAAGATGCTGTTGCTGATAAACATCAATTATTCTAATGGTTTATTTGTTTGTTACAAAGCACAATGGACTATCTGTGCTCTGTTCACAGTGGATATATAAACCCAATGTTTAGCATTATAAGCCCACTGACTTCCCACTGAGAGGCTATTCTAACAGAATTTGAAGTAATTGATTAGTTTTGTTTGACTTACAAAGCAACACAACAGACTATCTGTTCTGTGCCTACTGCATGTATCAAACCCAAACTCTGGTGTTCTTAGCCCTGTAGTTTACAGCTGAGCCACTGTAGAACAATTTGAAACAAACTCGTATATCCAGTTTGCTTTTTAATTTCTATAAGTTCATTATTCTGTAATTTGTTAAAAATTGAAATTAGATTTGGGGAGCTTTTGCAAAACATTTGTAAATACAATTTAGATATTTCTGTCAGAAATTATTCTCAGTATTTTAACAACAAATAGTGTTAGAGAGTGAGAGAGAGTAGTCTTTGTAAGGCTAAGATAAGGGTGGTTTCTGAGGGTCGTATGACCCATGATAGCAATATCGTTTTTTTAATGTTTAAAACAATAGGAATTAACTGAAGAGCCTACTGTCAGTATACATCCAATACATATACTGTTTGGTGAGTAAATCAGATATCTTAAAATGAAAAACACAGATTCTAAACTAAAGATCCCTGAATCTGAAATACTGTCAATATTACATTAAGGTTAATAGAAAGTGAAATTAATTTAGTTTAATTGTTGTTTTCTTATTGTATAGAAATAATATATATATATATAAAGACAAACAATAGTATAATTTTGGTAAAGTTGGTATCATTAAAGCAATTTCTGGCCAAGCAAAAAGTTAACATACTACACTAGAAATTTGAAAACATTGTCCAAATCTGGTGGTTGTATTTGATATGATTTTATATAAATCATCTTCATATTAAGTTGTACTACTCTTCTAGAGCTGAGCAATTAATTCCATCAATTGATTACCTATAGCATCAAATACATTGATTAATGTCATGTACAATAATCAATTAGTCAAAATTATGATTGATTAAACAAAAATATTCAACACTTGAAATTAGTGCTTCTGATTATTACTATGTTTGATCATTTTAACTATCCAAGTTTCACGTCAGAATAATCAATAGTTGAATGTAATCAATTAATGAATCTGACAATAAACAATTAGCAAACTCCAATAGTCACCCAGTTTTAACTACTACAGACACAAAAATTAAATATAAAATGTAATATGTTTACAAAGATGATAAAATTGAATGAAATAAGGTTTCATATTATATTTTACTTGAATACCTACTAGGGAGAAAACATATCCTTTGCGTATGAAACATTTTTGGTTGTGGTATTTTGGATCCGAGTGCACAAAGTTTGTAAGATGTAAAATCAATCACTATCACTTCTTTCCTACAGTTAAGTGACCTGTCTAGACTACTCAAGGATGAAGTTAGTTATATATAGTTCTGAACAAATCTGATGGCCATGCAAGATATCTCAGTGACTGCGAGGTTAAGTTATTCCATAACACTGGATACCCAACAAACATCTCTAGTACAAAGATACTTTCAGCTGAATGGTCTGATCAAAAATGACAAACCTATAGACTTACCTCGTAAGACACACCATATATAGTGATGCTTTCAAAACCTGGGTATCAGTGGCAAGTATTAAAACTCAGTGATATTGCTCCTAGATAACAGTACCAGTAGTCTAAGTGTCTATAAACAAATGAATGAATTTACACACAAAATCTTGACATGTAAACACTGCTGTTTGAGATGAGGCTTTGAGGGATGACAGATACATTCATCAAATACTTTTCCCTCTGAATTGCATAGTACTATCTACACCCAACCTTCCCTTACACATATGGTAACATTGTCTGTACTTTTCTACTCCTAATTTAATTTTGCACAGTTTAATGAAATTTAAAAAGCTTCCCACTCATGCACATGTTACTCTTTTAATTTTTAGATTTATCCTTACAACTTAGAAAAACAAATCAAACTACTAGTATGTGTATATATAAAAGATTCAGTACCTTCTGTCTCTGGGATATTTCCTTGTAATTTTAGTAAACTCTCTGTCATGTTAACAGAAAGATCAGCACGTTTAAGAAGGCCCATTACTAAGTCATAAGCAAATCCAGGGTTAAGATGCTCCACCTGTAATATCATGCACATGAAAAATGTCAATGTTTTTAAAACACATCTTTGAATTATGTTTGAAAATATCAAGATTATGGTAAAGAGTGTCAGCTCCTAAAGATTTCAGTTTATTTCTATTGTTTTTTTCTTTCCTATGAGATTTTCAAATGACAAACATTTTACAAGTTTTAGAAATAACTACTTTAAATATTGGAAAAAATTGTTTGAAACAATGTATTTTTCAATCATCAAACTAAAATCAAATGATGAAGCAGTTGATCTCAAACATAGTAAGTCTGAGGTGTATAAAAATATATATCCATAAAAAAACACAAGTGTCAGGAAATCACTCGATATATTTTAGAAAAAAATGCTAAGATCTTAAAAGTTTATATAAGTATTTATTTTCTTGCTTGCAACTGGTAGTTTTAGGGTTTTATTTTCTGCCATTTTGATATGTGATTTAAAGTTTATTATGCTAAATGAGTTAACTAAATTTCTGAATCAATTATGTAAGTTATCTTTGAAACCTGTGCAAACTTTTGGTTCTCTTGCTGGAGAGTTTAATGAGCAAGATCTATATTACATGATGTATTTATACTTTTCACGTAATGTCTTTCCCATTGGAGGCTTCAGCCAGTTCAATATGATCAGGCCTGCTTTTTCAGTTCTTTCTATCACTTTAAATCAAATCTTATTTAAGAAGTTACAAAAATACATTGCTGTTAAATTTAAAATAAAATGCTAATTTTTAAAATGTTATTAATTTTGACAATGATCTAGCTGTTATGTCTAAGTTATTTGGGGTTGATATTTTTGTAAGTATAACCATCTTATGTTAAGAAACTTCATGACATTTCTTCGTGAGCATAATCATAATTTTCTTTTACTTATGCATTTTTTTCAGCTATCGTCTGCAGAATCGGTCTATCTATTTGTCATTTAGGTCTCACTAAATTAACATTTTTAATATCAGCTTAAATGAAAACAGGTTGAAGTTAAATTTGAGTTGAAAGCAGAGTTTCCTACACATACAGTCTTTGAATTTGAATCACTATACCACAAGTTTAAGTTTAAACGTGTTGGTTTGATGTCACACTGGTTTTCAATACGTGTCAAATGCAAAATAAGAGTTATCACTAATCATCCCTCTAATACACATCAGTGAGTGACATTAAAAACAATGAAATGCAGATACTACACAGCTACAACCATAGTAACACCAGATGAAGTAATTACTATGTTTGAGTGCTAAGTACAGAAATTCTACCCAAGACCTTCACAGTTGAAAAGTGTACAAGTGCTGTAGACAGCCTCTGCCAAACAGTCAACAGGAGCTGCTACCGAGTTGATGCTATACTTCGATTCTTTGGTTAATTGGTATTGACTGAATTATGCTATTTTTCTATAAACAAAACAGTTTCGCTGGCTAAACTGAGACATGTTCATAGCATGTCACTGAACTATGATGACCTCCAATCAATACGGTGGCCTTGTGTCATATAGAAAGTAGATCATCAAATGCAATTTAGATCATGATAAAGTTTGTTAAAATTGTTCTGGTTAGTTTGAATTTGCTAAGAATAAACGTGTCATGATATAAAAGACTGTTTAGTTTAGATATTATTGATTAATTTATTTTTGCGAGTGAATATTTCATTATTGTTTAGTTTTTGTTATAATAAGAGTTAAAAGCAGACAGACAATAGCAGAAGTGAGTAAAGTTACAACAAGGAAAAGTTTGGCACGAAGTTAATTACTGTAGATGTGATAGGCCTAACGACTAACATAGGCTTAATGTTTAATATATTAGAGCAAGACTAACAGTAGAAACAGAGATAAAAAAATAATTTATTCCATCAAAGCACGGTTCTAAAGTAATTGAATCAGCCCGAGTGCACTTTGACAAAAGGAACAGAGGATCTTTAGAAGAAAGAAGACCAAACAATTACAGTAACTCATGCCACAATTGTAAGTGAATCACACACAAAATACTAGTGCAAAGTAATAGAGAAGATAGTTTAAAATATTGGCTTAGTTTCTCAGTTACAAATATTTAATGTCTATATACAACAATATTGTTCAAAAATCTTGTATTACTGTGTGTGTAATTATATCGATGGTCTAGGCCAAGCATGTGCAACTTCCTCTACAGTGCAGGCTGAATAGCAATTTTTAAATGTACTTGCAGGCCACACCATATGAAGCAAAATCATAACTAATAATCCATATTTTAATATCATATAAGTTTTAAGTTGTTAGATTTATAAGGCAATATTTAAAAAAATCATGAATTTCCCCTATTGTGAGAAATGTGACATTTTTTCTCTAGGCATTACCTCTCCTCTAATTTATTTACCATGCCTCCAATAAGTATGAAATTTAATGTAAATTACTCACTATAACCTTGTAATTGCTCAAACAAAGCATAATTTTCCAAGCCTTCAATCTTGTTTGGTTACAGAGCCATCAAAGAAGAAATCAGACCCCTCTTGCCACACCAACCTGTCACATCCTCTCTTTCAGGATTTAATAATTCTCTCTTATGTTTAATACTAAATTCTTTATAACCAATAGTAAGCCAAGGTTTTCCTCTATCAAATGATGTATTATATTACACTGTTTTCTGTACAGAAGACTGTCAATTTCTCTTTTAGTGCAAGCTTTGTTCCCACAGAAAAGATATCGACTAGCTTGGATGAATTTGTAACAGCTCTTCTTGCATAGTTTGAAAGCCAGAAAAATTGTAATAGTTATGGGACATTGTCTGCTTTATGCATGCTATTATTCTATGTTCTTTGATGCATCATTTAATTATTTATGCATCAATTTATGATGTCTATTAAGCATGAATAACAGCTACAATTGAGCCAAACACATTTTTCTAAATTATTTAAGAACCAAATTGCTTGTAGGTCCATGACTTTGTAGACTGGGTCCCTAATGAAATACAAGTTACAAACACAAAATTTTAAATAAAGAAAACACAATTTATGAAAACATCAATGAGGTATCTCTTCTGCCCTTGAAGTATGTAATTAATATTAAGATAATGTCTATTAAAATATTGTAAAAAAAAAGCCTGGGTAGAGACTCTCTTCTTCAAACTGAAAAGTACGTAATTTGTGGTGTGTGTGTTTGAGATACCATCAAGGTCTGTTCTTCGTCACAATGGTTAAAACTTTTCTATTCTTGATAACCTACACATAAATTGGTTAAGGAACAATTTTTGAAATCTGCTTAAAAATGACACCATAAAAAAAAAGGAATATCTGGTGGTAAATTAAAACAAACAAAAAATTAATAATACTAGGTCTAGTAAATCCACTGAAAAACACACACACACACACTAATTCATTAAAACCCATGTTAGAACTAAGCTGAAACAATTTTGGGTACATTAGTGTATAGTTCTTGACACCTACTCAGCAAATCAGTTCATCTACAGTTAAAGTTTTCTAAGAGTTTCAAAATGTAAGCCCATTTTTACAAACAGGTTCAGAAAACCAACAAAAAATACAATAATTTATAATGTCACTGTTTGAACTTTCACCTCCAACGTAATATTAATCAGTCTCCTAAGTCTAATACATTTATTAGCTTATATGTTATACATTTAACAGAAATTAATGTCAATTTGAATCTATAATTGGGGTCTCAAATTCAGCTGTCTGGTATATCTCTTAGGTTAGGCTCTACTTTAAGCAGGACTAAAATACAATAGGTTTATTCATCAAATAATAGTTGACTAAAATAATTTATAGTTCATGTTTCTGTATTTTCAAGGTAGTAATAACTTGATATATAATTATGTTCTGAGGGCTAAAGTTATATTTTTGAACAACTGTTAATAAGACATGTTCTTAGTGGTTTACTTAGCAAAAAGGTTCAATTTACTGAAGTAAATAGTTTTGTTAACATAATGTATAATAAATTACTATTTCCACAGTTTTGTATGCTCTCTCTTTAAACAATGTAAAATATTAAATCATATTAAAACACACCAAAAATATCCTGCTACAGTCAAAATAGAAACATCAGTATCAATCAAAATACCTTGGAAAGTGAAGTTTTTAGAGCTTCAGCTGCAGTGGTGTCCTTTCTTTCAAGCTAAAAAGAAAATATATTACAAATGTGAAGGTCTAAAATATCACTGTCCTCCTTACAATCATATCAGAAAAACACATAGATTAAAAAAGTCTTAATATAAAAACCCTATAACCCAAGCACTTTCAAAAGGTGGATGTTTCTTCTTCAGAAGATAAAAGGCTCACCTTATAGGGTTTCTTACAAATACATGTGATTTTCTAGCTAACTGTAAAATAATCAGCATGGTTAAAAACAGAAATGTAAATACAAAATGAACTAAATACAAAATATACAGCAAGTTTTTTTCAGTTGTTTTAAACCTTAAGATTTGTTCTGCACTGATCAATGCAGTAAATACACCAGTTTTTACCGAAATTGAGCATCTTTTAACCTTTGTAAAAGAAGGTATATCAAAAAGACAGGAAAACAAACAAATTATTATTTGATATTGATTACACATGAGACAAATCATCATAAACTGCAATTTCTTTATTAACATCTTAACTAGCTGTTTCTTCAACGTAACACCAGTAATTTTGCTGTTACACTTGAGATATTATAATTCAATAGTGAATACTGTGTGAAATATGAAATTATTTTCGAAGTTGAAATAATATCTGAGTATGATAGCAGTGTTACAAGGCATAGTACAATACCATTTTCTAATGGTTAATGTTATATGCACAACAAGAAAGGATGATATCTGAGATGTAAAGGTTGCCATGTGAGTTAAGACCTCTGAAATTTTTTTCTTTTGGAAAAAGAAAAGTTAGAGAGAGAATCTGATTGAGATGTTTAAGATTGTTATGGGAATTGATAGTTTTGATTCATCATCTTTTCCCATACTAATAGTGAGAACAGTAGATCTAGGGGATATAAATATAAATTTTGGCAGGGTAGGAGTAATCTTCAGTTAAGACAGCTTTATTTTTCTAACATTTTGCTGGTCTTTGCAAGGGGTTGCCTTCAGATGTGGTGAATACAGTTAATTTAAGGGAGTGTAAAGAAAGGCTTGATAAACATTGGAATGATAGGGCCTGGCTTTGTGTGTTTTCATTGTAAAGTTTAGTTGTGAATGGGGATGCCCAAGAAGGACCAACAGTTCCCTTGTTAATCTTAAATCATATGTATATGTAAAGAGTCAGAGATTCTTGCATAATCAGTGCCACTGTTGAATGGTAAATTTTAAATGATTTATTGGAGTATGAAGTTTAACAGTTATGTAAAGCCACACAGTGAGATTATTAAACTATAATGTTTTCTTACTCTAGAAAAGTAATTAAATCTTTACCAAATACTCATATATCTAAACTGTACTCAATGTATTACTTAAGATTTGGGGAAAGAGTTCTACATCAGGACATGAACTGGTGATTAGTGGATTTTGCTAACTAATTAATTGTCAGACTCATCAATCAAATATTCTCGTAAGAGACTTTGATAATTGGAATAACTGAAATTAGTAACAATACAAAACATTAATTTTGTTTAGATTATTTTCATGAGTTGTGACAATAATATATTTAGCATGAATATGAATAACCTTGAATTAACTGTAAATAATAATGAGAAATGATAACAGCAATATTTCGATTACTTATATAATTGATTATTTTGTGATATTAATCAAATTAATCATATTTTACTTAACTGATTATTTTTTTGTGATACTAATTGATGCTCATAAGTAATTGTCTAGCTCTACTGCAATTACAGTTACATAAGCAAATTAATAAGTGATGACATTATACAAATAGAAAACAAACAAATGGTGGTGAGGGATTACACAGTTGAAATTGAAGAATCAAAGCTAGCAAAAAGAAGATATAACAAGGAACTATTTATTTATAACTATTTATAATATATAAATAGTAACGGGAATATAGGAGGAATTTTTAAAAAACAAAAGAAATTGTTCTAACACTAGTAAAAGAAAACTTTATAAACACTAATAATGGTTGGAGACGGCATGAATGGGTAATGAAGAAAAACTTTAATATAAGTTGAACATAACAGCAAATGTACAACGTTTTGTCGAAGGTATCTGATGATGGCAAAACCTTGTCGAAACGTTGTACATTTTCTGTTATGTTAAACTTATATTAAAGTTTTTCTTCATTACCCATTCATGCCGTCTCCAACCATTATTAGTGTTTATAAAGTTTTCTTTTACTAGTGTTAGAACAATTTCTTTTGTTTTTT